ACAAATACACCTTACGTGCAACGTAGAGTTATTAGTTAATAAATACAAATACACCTTACGTGCAACGTAGAGTTACTAGTTAATAAATACAAATACACCTTACGTGCAACGTAGTTATTAGTTAATAAATACAAATACACCTTATGTGCAACGTAGAGTTATTAGTTAATAAATACAAATACACCTTACGTGCAACGTAGAGTTATTAGTTAATAAATACAAATACACCTTACGTGCAACGTAGAGTTATTAGTTAATAAATACAAATACACCAGACATTCAACGTACAAGTTATTAGTTAATAAATACAAATACACCTTACGTGCAACGTAGAGTTATTAGTTAATAAATACAAATACACCTTACGTGCAACGTAGAGTTATTAGTTAATAAATACAAATACACCTTACGTGCAACGTAGAGTTATTAGTTAATAAATACAAATACACCTTACGTGAAACGTAGAGTTATTAGTTAATAAATACAAATACACCGGACATTCAACGTACAAGTTATTAGTTAATAAATACAAATACACCTTACGTGCAACGTAGAGTTATTAGTTAATAAATACAAATACACCGGACATTCAACGTACAAGTTATTAGTTAATAAATACAAATACACCGTTCACGCAACGTGGAGTTATTAGTTAGCGTGTCAGTAACAGTTGGCATAGAAATTGACCCTGTTCAAGATCGTAATGCTGACTAATAATTTAATAAATCGACGAATGTGAATTGGAACGAATGTGAAATGGGACGAATGTGAATTGGGACGAATCGACTCGTGGGACGAATGTGAATTGGGACGAATCGACTTGTGGGACGAATGTGTTGGGACGAAAGTGAATTGGGACGAATTGACTGTGAATCATTCAGATAAGTTGTGTTTTGAAAAGCCTTACAAATCCTCCCCATTGCATAAAATATCAAAGCACTCCATAGATTCATATGTTACCCTGTTGAATATTACGTTTTATGTTGGTGGGCAAGTATATAAATTAGATGAAATTAATTATGTTAAAGAGTGGATCAATAACTATTAATGCAGTTTTCGTGTACATTTCCAGCAGTATATTACCAACCTAGTGCCGTAAATGATGACGTGTAATATATCATCATTCATTTAAATACATTCCTGTATATGGATGAGAAGTCTCTAATGAACATCATAGCTTGCTTGATATATATACAAGTTTAGTAGTGATCGGCTGAATATTATCTTGAGTTATCACGTCCACAGAAAATGTTTATGACGATGATGGACATTTTGCTACTGTTACGACTACTCTAAGCCCAAATTTTGAAGTTGTATAATCACAGCAAAAATGTATACCTTCTGGTTGTACAGTGAAACCTGTAATCTGAAGACGAAAGGGACAGGCATTTGATAGATTTACAGATGTGTGTGGAGAATGTCTAGAAATAGGTTAGAAGAGAGTTTGCTCAACAGGTTTTACAAATGTAAAGAATTATTACACACATGTATCCTGTATAAAAATAATTTTATTAATCAGTTTCTGTGCATGAAGTTAATCTAGTTAAATAAGTTGTTTTTTGTGAAATCTCTATTGAGACTTAAAGTAGTTCATATTACATTCATGGCAAACAACTTACCACATTTCACTATGTATTGCAGTTCAAAAGAGATTGTTCAACTTGAACTGACTGAGGCTGCACTTCGAATTTGGTTCACTAAGTACTGCAGTAGAGACACATGACACATGACACATGACACATGAGCCAAAAAGAATTTCTTTGATGGGATTTTAACTTGCACTGATCTCTTGAATTATATTTTACAGTGCATTTGCAGTGTGTGTACTTGTCTTGTATGTAAAAAATGTGAGCCAAACAAGCAGCATCTGGCAGTGTTACCAAGTCCAGATACATCTGAATTTACAAACACATTCGTGTATAAAATTACATGGGATATCCATGCATATCATCTATCCAAAGATTCAGACACCGCAGTGCTCAGTTGATATTACACTGCAAGTCAAATCTCACAAAAAACAACAAATGTACCAAAAAAAGTCAGATTAATATAAAATAATAATTCCATGGTGTAATCTTAGGGATGGCAACTACCCCCTTTAATATAAAAAAAGGAATGAAGTACTTTGGGGCATGAAAGTATTACATTTCTATGAGTGAGATATAAATGACAAACTTACTTAAATAAAAACATACAAATGTATATATATTTGTAAATGTACTATTATCATCTTGTGACCAGTACATGTGCTTTGGCAGTTAGTGTTAAAATCTGTTACCATTTTATACCCTGTACCTAAACTAGACTTAGTGTTAGAAAATGTATATGACCTAGAGTTGGTAAATAGCAAATAACTGTATGTAAGCAGACCCCAGGTTACTGCCCGGATGTAAAACTACTTAAAATATAAAGGTCAATTACTGCAATAAATGCAAGACATATAACTTCAATAAAGTTTATACTGGTCGGCCTGTGCTGGCTGCAAACATCTGGATGCAATAAAAATAACAGCACTAATAGTAATACTTAATACAAGAGCTTGATTGTAGGATAGTCATCAAATTTTCTGCAATTTGTTTTCCTATCTATGTCTGCTGAATCTATTTTCTGATCACAGTACAAAGAATACAACCTGGCTTTAATATAAGGTTATGGTTACTGATCTCGTTTTTACAGCAGGTGCGTTTAATTTTAGTTTGACTTCAGAATAGCATTGGATTATTCTGATAATGGTCTTAATTATAATTATTGTCATTACCATGATGTTTCATACACCAACAATAAATAGCTGACCAGTTTGGTATGTGCATCTCAATATTGTTGCATGATTAGAACTGCTTACATCAAACCATTTTTATGGGGCTGTGTCATTCAGCTAAATGCCTAAATTTATGAGTGTCGGTCACACACTAGATACACCAACAAGTGTGTACTGATAAGAGACCTCATCAGTACATACAATTTTGTTTAATTTGTTTGGATAACTTTGCCTTGTCATACAGCAATATATACAATTGGATGAAATTAATTGAAAGATAATTGCATCTTTTGTTTACATTTAACATGTCAGAGTCCCATACTATTAGTGTCTCGTCTTCTGTTGAGATTGGTTCGACATAACTTGTTCTAAGTGTGTAATTATCTACAGATGTGCATAACAAACCAATCAGCAACTTAGCTGGCAACGTTTTTTGTGTTTGAAACAATATGGTGAAAATACTATACGTTGCAATAATGATGAAACACAAAACTTGAATGTATGAACAAAAATATTTCAGTACTTTAAGAAATAAAATATAATGATGAACAGAAGTATGATGTTACTATATTTTCAGTGAAGTAGTCAAGCAAATAATCAATACACAGTAATGTCAGGATTTTCAATTACTGTCATCTTACTTGCCTTATGACAGCTAAAGTTCTATAATTGGAACATAATGTTGTGCAAAATGCTAAAATTTATTGTTTTTTTTTTGTTTTGTATAGAAATATCACATAAAAATTTAAACATGGATGAGCCAGACTGGGTTCTTTAGAACGAGTCACCGTAAGGTTAGCAACAAAGCATGATTTAAAAACAAATGTTCAAGTTCTCAAGTAAGACTTGTGGGTGGGTCACAATAAAAGATTAAACATACATGCAGTTACATTACAAGTGAAACTCTTCTGCAAAATACAGATATAAAAGTACATCATTATAGTAAAAAAAAATATATCTTTCAAACTAAATAAGAAAAACATATCCTGTCATTCCACCTTGGCAAGAATTTACATACACCTATTGTTAATTTAATCATTACACTTGCTATAAAAATATCACTGTTTGTCATAAAAGTCAGTTTACTATAAAAAGTGATGCTAACCCATTTTTTTTAAACATTTTAAATATAATTGTTTTTAAAGACTGGGCACAATGAACATTTTTGAAACAGAAAAATTAACATTAAAAAAAAAACTGTTAGCTCGGTGATTAAAATGTACGATACTTTACAGACTTTTAATTTGGCACATTAACTAAGTATACTGCATGGCAAGTGCATTATTTATATATTTATACAGTAGTGTATTTGCCTGCATCTAATAACAACAAACAACAAGAGTGAACACACTGTTTAATGCTAAGCACAGTTACCACCCACCCCCCCACTGAATAGAAGTTATGAATATAGTCTCTATTTTTTTGAAATTTAGGCATGTTGGAGAGTACACAATGTTTTAAGTACAATATGCAGAGACAAATCCAATTTTTGACACTAAGTATCGCCCTAAACTGAACTATTTTAAATTATTTAAAATTATGCTGCAAATCTGACTAACGCATGAGCATAAGTGGGTGTATGTCTAGATCATCACCTGACACAAGACTGAGTATTCAGTCTCTAACATATGTATCTTTGACCCACATGTAGAAATATTAACATCCTACCCTACACATAATTTAAGAAGACACAATAATGGTCATACAGTGAACACTTTAAGAATTAATTTTCATTTTCTCTAAGATAGGGAGTATCATATCAAATCGAGGCCTCTTAGCTGGGTCTTCATTCATACATATTCTCATCAGTTTGGAAATATGTGGCGAGACGCCGGGAGGAATCACAACTCTCAAACCTTCGCACACAACCTGAAAAATAAACGACAGTGAGTTACAAAATCTTTAGAACTCTTCAAAACTCATGAGAAATACAGATTTTGTTAATCAACTCAAAACTGAGTTATAAAATAAACATAGCATAAGCATTACAACATTGCCCATTGAGGAGCTACATATTAAATTATGAATCAGAATTCAGGATGGTTGGTATGTGTTTATCACACTGATGAATAACTGTATTTTGTGAGGATGTAAAAACATAGTATTAGATGCATAATGTATTTACCAAATTTGAACAAAAAATGACAAAGCATGCATAAGATACCACATTTTCAAAAAAACAAAATGGCTACCTGTCAGCCATATTAGATTGAATCAGTAATCCTTGCTGTTCATAAACAGCCATAAACAATAAATAACCAAAATGTTTGAAAGAAAGATTATTGTAATATTGAAAAGTAAATCGTAAACAAAATGTTAAAATGTATTTCCATTGTAACTGGTTTACAGGAATCAGTGAAACATCACAAATTCAGTCTGCATGCCACCTTACTGATCAAACCATGACGATGTCCGATTTTAAAACAGAGATCATTCACAGAAATGTATATTCCAATGTTGAAAATAAAACATTTTATGAAAATACTAATTTAACCGTACTAATTGAGGCAACACACAAGCTGCCATGATTTCTTACGACAGTTGCAACTTTCAGTTTCTACTACGACCAGGGATGTTTTATATTGCGCTATTTTTTGCACAAACTGATTAAGCCATGAATCATGTATTTTTTCTAAATTATAAAACTAAAAGTAATATAGTGTACAAATGTATAAGCTTTTTATGAAAAATAAAAAAAAATGTACATTATGAATAAATTATGTAAATCATATGCTAATTGTATGCCAATTAGTCGCCATCATTAACCAAAATCCTGGGAAGAACACTGTCAGTTGTCTCACTGGTATAAAAATTACTAAAAACACATGGAAATAGCTGCATATTATTATTCCAATATTAGAGAATTTGACTCCATGCATGAATCTTACTTTAGCTAAAGTGTTAACTATGTAGTTGCATTATTCTAGATTTTGCATTAGCTATAAAGGTGTAAAGCACATTCTTAGCATTTGGTAAAACAATTTGGGTTCTCACCTTCATTCCTATTTCCATATTAGACATACCAGCAAATGGAACCTCTCGTGTTGATAACTCCCACAGCAACACAGCGAAACTCCACATATCAGCCGCACGGACATTCATCTCTTCCGGACATCTCTGTAATGCTGCAAAATATAATACATATGAACATTGTGTGCTATCAAGCCTGAGGTTTAGAATGCACTTTATAATACTAACGTGCGCATAAAACATTTTCAGCTAATTGTAAGACTTTAAATTTGTGTGTTTTTGAAACCTATCCAACGACACACACAAACCGGCAACCGATACAATTCAATTCAGCCTACCTTCCGGTGCCACCCATGCTGTACTATAGAGTTTACCACGATTTTGAAATGAGAATTTATAATCAGCCATGTTTATTTTGGCAGTCAGATCTTCATCAATCTGAAAAAAGAAAAGATGAGAAACTGATATTAGGGTCTGGCTGCTTTATAAAGTTAATCAATTATTTCTGATTAACTGATAACAAGGTCTGACTGTTTTATAAAGTTAATCAATTATTTCTGACTGACTCATTGATAACAGGGTCGCGCTGATTATTAAGGTAAAATACCTTTATGCCACTTTTGCACTCAGGGTTCTGCCCAGCCTGATTTGAGTGCCGGTCGCTGATTAATATTCATGAGTTCATTAATATTCATCAGTAAAGTTTACTACACTCAGGTGCAAGTGCAGATTAAACAAACGACAGCTTGACGCATCGCTGCCGGTGAAGTGAGCAAGTTATTGTTCAACTCGACAAATCCTACACACAACTAAACTTGCAATGGTAATCCTTCCTTCTGTTTATTTATCGTTGTCTTCCTTTCCATTATCTTGATGTACGACTTATTCCGAACTGGTTCGTTTGTTAAAACTAACAGAATGTCAATCGGAGGTTAAAACAAAAACACATTAGGCCGATGTCACATGTGTACGTTGATTTTGAACAGCGGTGTCTTCTTTCATTGAAGTTTTGTTGTGTGTTAATTTTTTGCATTGTGTTGTTGTGTGTTAAAACCAACAATGACAATAGAATGATGGTCCAGTGGCCGACATCTTGTGTGTATCATAAACAAATAGAATAGTGCCGGTCGCCAACTTTTTGTCCTGGTCGGAAATTATGAGTGCCGGTCGCTAGCGGCGGCGCCGACCGGTGTACGCAGATCCCTGCTTGCACTATTGACTTTAATCGTATTATTTGATTACTTACCATAATAATTTTACTACTGAGATGTAATCTGGGTATCATAGGTTCTAATGTGTGTAAGAACTGCATACCACGGGCGATATGAATGGCAAAGTTGATGGCTTGGGACATGTCAACTACGATACCTGTGAAGGAGAGAATAATTTTTTTAGAATATTTATTCACTATCTTTGTGATGCAAATTGTGTGAACTCCTAAATAGTATACACATACATGTATAGTATATCACTGGTAAAATATCATCTGTTACTACGGTATATCGACCAGAGATACCGAAGATGATCAGCACCTGTGCAAATTAAACAAGCAGCCTATCGGCTGAGATAGCTCCGCTGTTAGCAATGCACATTTCAATTAAAGAACTGAAGACATCATTAGAAAATGAACAATATGAATAGTATCAAAGCAATCGGACTTACAGTTTTTAACAAGAAGTCGAAAATATCACTTTTTACCAAAAATTACAAAAATATTCACCAAAATAAATTAATTAGAGAATTGAAGATATCATCACAAAACGAACAAATCTGAGAGAGGTCCACATGTAGTACCTATATATGTAGTATCAAAGCAATTGGACTTTCAGTTTTTAACAAGAAGTCGAAAATATCACTTTTCACCAAAAAATGACAAAAATATTTACCAAAATTAGAGAATTAAAGATATCATTACAAAATGAACAAATCTGAGAGAGGTCCACATGTAGTACCTATATATGTAATATCAAAGCATTTGCACTTGCGGTTTTTAACAAGAAGTCGAAAATATCAGTTTTTACCAAAAATGACAAAAATATTCACCAAAATTAGAGAATTAAAGATATCATTACAAAATGAACAAATCTGAGAGAGGTCCACATGTAGTACCTATATATGTAATATCAAAGCAATTGCACTTGCGGTTTTTAACAAGAAGTCGAAAATATCAGTTTTTACCAAAAATGACAAA